TATATGGGAAGAAGAAGAACATGGACTCCAAGTGTTCGATGCGCGGCCCCTGACACACAAATATATGCATGGACCCATATGCTGCCTCTTTACATGTAAGAAGAAGATGACCTCAAGTGTTCGGTGTGAGGTCCCTCTCTCTCACAGACTCTCTTCTCTCTCTCTCTCTCTCTCTCTCTCTCTCTCTCTCCATAACCCCCAAGGTATTGAGACCTCTCTCACACAAATACAGATTCAAAAGAAAAAGAAAAGGAAAAAAGGAGGATGATCTTTAAGAATTTCATGCAAGACTTCACACACACACATACGTGCACATGGACATACACACATTCACAAAACACACACACACACACACAAAAAAAACACCATATGGCCCCCCATCCCAACTCCTTCCCTTAGGGCCGCCTTGGTGTATGGGCAACCGCCATGGCACCTCGGCAGCTCAAACCCTTGGCCACCTAGGCGGACGCCTCCGTCTTTTTGAACATTGTGTAATTCAAATGAAAATTAATTTGTTAATTTTAACTTTTATATTTTATATTGAGTGCATTAAATACTACTTATAATGTTTAATATTCTACGTAATTTTTAGATATTTAATTAATATTATATATTAATTACACTGCTATCATTTTTTATTTCTAACATAGACATTATTTCTAATATGGGAATTCCTATTTTAATTTTTAAACTTCCAAGGAGACTATATTCATTTTTTCCCCATAAATTGCAAATGTTTTATTGTTCCAATTTCTTCTCCATAGTTTGATTTTTATAACACTAGTTTTTTGTAACAAATGAGAGATACTTAAGAGAGATAGCATCACCTTATTTGGAACCTTTCTAAGAAGATTTAGAGAACAAATGAAGATATTGTAAATGGCATATTTTAGGAATGAATAGGGTATGTGAATATTTCAAGAAAAAATTTTAGAAAAATTAGAGGGTGAGAGATTTTAGGTAAATTGGAAGAATGGGAATATATATATATATATATAAGAGAATGTTTACAGCATCAAGGAAAAATTTGGAGGGAAGTAATGAAGCAGTGAACCAATTTAACAAACCACACGCACACACACACACAGGAGAAACTTGTCAATAGCTCCAAACTTATCTCCTAATGTACTTTAGATCCACCTCCCAATCGTCCAATCTTGATCGGATGGTTGCGAGTGCATATTTGTCAATGACTTCTATTATGTTTTCTACAAATTAGTTTGTGCTGAAATTTTGAGTTTGAGGGCATGTGTGCCTCATTTGGACTCATGTAAGAAAAACATAAAAAAAAGAAATTTTTATGAAATTAAAATGACTAAAATACCCCTGAAGTTTTATGGTATTTGCCCAATCTATTATCTCACGCATGCACACAGACACACATTTTGAATTTTAATCTTTGATCAAACAAGTAGGAGTGAATCCTCCATTTGAATTTTAATCTTTATATAAATCCAACTAAGCTAAAATTAGGGGTGTCCACACTTCATAAAGGGAAGCAACTAATAAAAATATATGCAAAAATATATTTCCAATATTTTAAAATGGCTGAATAGCCCCTGAAAGTTTCATGGGCATTTCAGTCATTTTAAATTATGGAAAACATTTTTTAATATTTTTATCGGTTGCACCCTATTTCCATGCATTCACAGCCAACATTTCAGCTTAATATGCACCGACCGATCAAGATTGAATGGTTCAGAGTGTTTGGGAGTGAATAAAATTCTAGCATTTTTTAAATGTTGCTATATATATATATATATATATATATAGTAGGTAAA